GGGGGAGGGGTAGATCTAAGTATTTTACCGAGCTGGCAACAGCATAAGGTCATATAAGCGCTCGGGACACTTTATTATGTACTTTCCGTTTGGTAGGAATTCATTTTGAATTTTGCCTAGGTGGCGGTCGAAGCCTACTCTTATCGATTTTAGGACAGCCAGTTTATGGGATCTTTAAAGTGAGCAATTTGCGCACGAGGCCTCTAAGATTTTTTCACCCTTATCCAAGAAGATTGGGTATTAGATCAGGGGTGTGGCTGAAAGACAGCAGTAAGAAGTAGCCAATGAGTAGCAGTAGGAGAAGAACGTTTTCAGACCGTCGCTGTCAGGTTTCGAACCGCGATCTATAGAATGAGAGCGAACACTTTACCTCTTGACCACGAGAGCCCCAATCCCCAAATGATTTTAACAAATGGATACAACATGGAGGATTAGGAGAGAAGATATCACGTATTCCTTACAACAAAATGGTAAAACAAAAGTGCGTAACAATTTGTTACTGGTGAGCCCAATTAACCCTATCTGTACGTCGTGTTTTACCATCATATCCATACGGTGTGGGGAACTTTGTGCCTCCACTTTCCAAAGAGGAAACATACTCGTTAATCCGATCATTACACTTTGCATAGCAATCGGTCAAAATGATATTTTGAGAAATACTGAAAATTTCAAAGAGATCTGCGTGCTAGAAGTATTCTAAAATGTGAAGAATACAACCCCGGGGGTACAAAATGACCCCAGGGTGTACGGATAGGGTTAAGTATGTAATTTAAACATTCTATAGATCTATAATAGATATAGATCTATAGTAAAAGGGTGCAAGAAAAGTGTGTGATAACTCGTTAAAGTAAACGGGAGAAACAAATAATAAGTCAAATCGTCGTAGAACTTATGTGACATCATATTTTTCTTTACCGTGTACATGTATCTTTTTCATTCAAGTTTCTCAAAACTTAGTTTTCACGATACCGGAACTGTGGGATTCTCAAATGATAACGGAGATGGTTACAATAATGCAAAAGTGCAGTCAAAATTGTCTAAGACGGCGACACATTGTAGAGGAGAAAAGCGGCCGTCTTAGACAGGTGACTGTCTTATATAGTGACAGTGACAATGTAATGTACAAAAGAGACGCAAATGGAGAATGGGAAGTGACCGTTTCTACCGGTGATTGTCTTATACAGATGGTCACAAGAGCTGGTTCCATTGTATGTCACATTAAGTTAGCATAGAATAATACCCTTTTCTCTTCAATTGTCATTTCTTTCTCTTCTTCCTCTCCTTCCTCGGTTTGCTCTTCTTCTGCAAAATCTTCGTCGTCATCAGAATCGTCGTCATTGTCGTTGTCCTCATTCCCGTCTTCCCTGTTGTTGTTTTCGTCCGGGAGTCGTGAAGGTGGGCGTGGTGAGGGAGTTGCCCCTTCTATTGTAACTGTAGGGACTTTGCTGTATCCATCTTCCTCCTCGGAGGGCTAAAGAAAGAATAGCAAAGACTGCTTTTAAAACTTTAAATAAAACGTTATATAGGCTATACATATATACATATTTATATATATATTATATATATATAATATATAA